AACCCCCCCCAGACATGCTCCAGAGCCTCCCCCCCATCAGCCCTACCTTCATCTGATTTTTCAGCTCCTCAGCTCGGCCCATCAGGGTCTGGATCTGGTGAAGAGAGAGAGGAACGTCCCTTGGAAGCCATGCCCAGGGAGGGGGGACACAGCACCATCTCCCCCACCCCACCACCCCACCCTGAGGTCGGCACCCACCTCGGCGTGGAGCAGCTCCCGTCGCCTCCCCGCCGGCTCCGCTGCGGAGGGAAGAGGGATGGGAGGTGAGTCCTGGGGTGCAGGATGAGTCAGGGGGTTCTAATTAATGGAGAAGGGTCAAGTTGGGGGCCTGTGACCGGTGGTGTCCCTCAGGGGTCAATACTCGGCCCAGTTTTGTTCAACTTATTCATCAGTGACCTGGGCGAGGGGACGGAGTGTATCCTCACCAAGTTGGCTGGTGACACCAAACTGGGAGGGCTGGCTGACACCCCAGAGGGCTGTGCCACCATCCAGTGTGACCTGGACAGGCTGGAGAACTGGGCAGAGGAGAACCTCCTGAGGTTCAACAAGGGCAAGTGTAGGGTCCTGCACCTGGGGAAGAAGAACCCCAGGCACCACGAGAGGTTAGGGGTGGACCTGCTGGGAAGCACTACTGAGGAGAAGGATATGGACATCCTGGTGGCCAGTAAACTCTCCATGAGCCAGCAATGGGCCCTTGTGGCCAAGAGGCCAATGGGATCCTGGGCTGCGGAGGGAAGAGTGTGGCCAGGAGGGTCCTTCTCCCCCTCTGCTCTGCACTGGGGAGGCCACAACTGGAATCCTGCCTCCAGTGCTGGGCTCCCCAGTTCAAGAGAGACAGGGAACTGCTGGAGAGAGTCCAGCAAAGGGCAACAGAGATGCTGGAGGGGTTGGAGCATCTCCCTGAGGAGTTAGGGGAGACCTTCTTCATGCTGACAAGGATCCAAAGGGTGGGTTGAAGGAGGATGGAGCCGGACTCTTCCCAGTGGTTCCCAGTGACAGGACGAGGGGCAACGGGCACAAGCTGGACCATGGGAAGTTCCCCTCCAATCTGAGGAAGAACTTGTTTGGGGTGAGGGTGGCAGAGCCCTGGCAGAGGCTGCCCAGGGAGGGTGTGGAGTCCCCTTCTCTGGAGATCTTCAAGCCCCACCTGGATGCTCCTGAGTGATGTGCTCTGGGCAGCCCTGCTTTGGCAGGGGAGTTGGGCTGGATGATCTCTAGAAGGTCCCTTCCAACTCTGACAACTCCATGATTCCGTGTCCCACCCCCACCCCACGGCCACCGCTCACCAGCCAGAAGGAGCAGCAGCTCCTCCAGGCTCTGCTGGTAGAGCTCCAGGGTGTCCCCCTCGTCTTTGCCTTCCTCCTCCTGCAAGAGAAACCCCATTTCTGCAGCAGCCACGGGGATTGGGGGTGGGAGGGACATGCCAGCCCCCTCCCCACCTGAGTTTCCTCCTTCCCTCTCCTTCCCCATCTCCCCAAAAATCCAAGGACTCACCTTGGCCATGGCAGCAGAAGCCATTTCCAGGGCGGTGACCAGCCGAGGCTTGTCCTTGGCCATCTCTGCAAGAGGGGACACTGAATCAGGGCACACCCCGAGGGAGGGGGGCACCCAAAACCCCACCAGGCGCCCCCCCTTCCCACTCCTCCACCACCACAGCGGCAGGGGAGGGGGGAGGAATCCCAAAAAACCTTTAAGGATCTCTCTGGATGGGTTCCCTCGCTGCAGGAGGTTCTTGCTGCTGGAGGTCACCACCGCCTTCAGCTCCTCTGCTCGGGAGATGTACTGCCCCACCTGCCCACAGCAAGGGGGGGGGCATGAAGGGACCCCCACCACGGGGGACAGGGGATGAGGGGGGATGCTGTCCCCCACCTCCCGGGGGATTTTTGGCTCACCTTGGCCCGGATGGCTTCTTTCCGGCGAGCATCGCTTTCATCTTGGGGTGGTGGGGGAGAAAAGAGCAACTGATGACCAGGGGAGGTCGGGGGGGGTGCACACGGGGGTGCTGTACCCCCAAAAATGCCCCAGGCAACCCCCCCTGGGGTGGACTCACAGTACAGAGCTGGTACAAAATACTCCAGGGCTTTGCAGTAGAGGGAGAGGGCAGCAGGAGCATCCCCCTCCTGGTCCTTCTTCACCGCCTCCACCACCAGGTTGGTCTGGGGGGAGAGCAGGGGGAGGTGCTCAGGGCTCAGAGCCCCCCCATCCCTGGGGAGCAGCACCCCAGCACCCCCTCAGAGTCACAGAATCTCCATGGTTGGGAAGGATCTTTGAGATCATCGAGTTCCAACCACAAAAAAACCCAAGAAAACAAAAAAATCCCCAGAGACAGACACAACCCAACAATCTTGGGCACCAAAGTGCCACCTCGACACATTTCTTCAATACCTCCAGGGATGGTGACTCCACCACCTCCCTGGGCAGGCTGTTCCAGTGCCTGACCACCCTCTCAGGAAAGTAATTCTTCCCAATATCTAATCTAAACCTCCTGTGCCCCAACTTCAGACCATTTCCTCTGTTCCTGTCATTATTCCCTTGGGAGAAGAGGCCAACCCCCACCTCTCTACACCCTCCTCTCAGGGAGTTGTAGAGGGCAATGAGGTCTCCCCTCAGCCTCCTCTTCTCCAAACTGAACATGCCCAGTTCCCTCAGCCTCTCCTCACGTGACTTGTTCTCCAGACCCCTCCCCAGCTTGGTGGCTCTCCTCTGGACACGCTCCAGCCCCTCAATGTCCTTCTTGTGGTGAGGGGCCCAGAACTGAACCCAGCCCTCGAGGTGAGGCCTCACCAGTGCCCAGTCCAGAGGCACCATCACTGCCCTGCTCCTGCTGGCCACGCTGGTCCTGATACAGGCCAGGATGCTGGTGGCCTTCTTGGCCACCTGGGCACACTGCTGGCTCATGTTGGCTGTCCACCAACACCCCCAGGTCCTTTTCTACCAGGCAGCTCCAGCCACTCTGCCCCAAACCTGTAGCGTTGCCTGGGGTTGGTGTGACCCAAGGGCAGGACCCAGCACTTGACCTTGTTGAGCCTCATCCCATTGGTCTTGACCCATCCATCCAACCTGTCCAGGTCCCTCTGTAGAACCTTCCTGCCCTCCAGCAGATCAACGTCACTCCCACCTAGTTTGGCGTCACCTGAGAACTTACTGAGGGTGCACTCAACCCCTTCATCCAGATCATCAATAAAGATATTAAACCCCAAAACCGAGCCCTGAGGGACACCAATTGTCTGTGCCGTGATTCTCCAGCTTCTCCACTCACCGCCTTGCAGAGGCTCTCGGGGCCGGGGACGTGCTCCATATCCACGAAAGGGTGGGCGAAGAAGCGCTGGAAGGAGATGCGTTTCAACGGGTCCCTCTCCAAGAGCTGTCCTAAGAGATCCCGGCATTCTGGGGAGAGCGGGGGCCGGCTGGGAAGCTGGGGAGGGAAAATAGGGGGGCTGAGACCACCAGCCCCATAGGGACAAGCTGTGAGATGCCACCCACCTCCACCCCATCCCAGGTTACCTCCACAGCCCGGTCGCTGCGGATCTTCTCCTCCAGCTCGGCGAAGGAGCGGGAGGCAAAGGGTGGCTTCCCAAAAAGTGCTTCTACAGGGTGAAGGAAGGAAGAAAAGAAGTGATGTGGAGCAGGATGGAGAGGGGGAAACCAGCCCCAAGTCGAGCCCCGGGGGGATAAAAGCCAAAGCCCACCGTAGAGGATGACGCCCACCGACCACAGGTCCACCCGGGCATCGTACTGCTGGCGGCACACCATCTCGGGGGCCATGTAGAGTGGGGAGCCCCTCAGGACGTGCTTCTCATCCCAGGGTGACATGTGCTGGGCAAAGCCGAAATCTGCGAGAGGATGGACCAGGGGAGCTCATTTTTTGGAGGGGTGGGAAGGCAGGAGGAGAAGGAATGGCCACCCCCAGCCTCTCTTCCCTGGGACGTGTCCTCACCTGCCAGCTTCAGCTGGGGGTTCTCCGGGGCGCTCAGGAGGATGTTCTGCGGCTTGAGGTCCAGGTGGGAGATGTTGCGGTCGTGGAGGAACTTCAGAGCGCAGGCTGGGCAGGTGGCAACCTCAGTGCCAAGAGTCTTGGCCCCCAAAATCCCCGGGGAGGGTGCCCCATGGAGCTGGGCAAGGTCCCCTTACCGAGCTGCTGCAGGAAGACACGGGCCACCTTCTCGGGGAGGATCCTGCGCATCCGGATGAAGCGGGAGAGGTCCCCCCCAGCGCAGAACTCCATGATCAGGTAGATGTGGTCGCTGTCCCACTGCAAGAGGACCCCGTCACGCCACTCCAGCCGGTCCCACCACATATCCCACCCACACAGGGTCCGCCTGGACTGGTTTGCCCAGTTGCTGGCACCCAGCTCCACGGATACACCCTCAGGGAGCCAGGATAGACCCCAGGACCTGAGCTGAGTGGGTGCTGGCTCAGTGTCCCATCTTCCTCCCCTGGGAAGCCCCCAGCCCCACCTGGAAGTCCTTGAGCTCCACGATGTGCGGGTGGCGGATGGTCTTCAGGATCTCGATCTCCGTCAGCAGGTTCTCCACCGACGTCCGGTTGAGGCTCCTCTTGTTCACGCACTTGATGGCCACCACCTCCCGTGTGTCACTCTGCCAAGGGGAGCCAGCCCTGGAGACCCCCCATCCATCCACCAAGCCACCCTGGGGGTCCTTCCCCAGCCTGCTGGGGGGAATCCTGGGTGGGGAAGGGGGAGAAGGAGCCCCTGGGAAGGTGGTGACAGGGGACAAGTCCCAGGCTGGGGACAGCAGGTCCCATATGGGGGCTATAGGGATGGCTATAGCCACCCTGGGGGTCCTTCCCCAGCCTGCCAGGGGGGGTCCCAGGTGGGGAAGGGGGAGAAGGACCCCCTGGGAAGGGGGTGACAGAGGACAAGTCCCAGGCTGGGGACAGCAGGTCCCATATGGGGGCTATAGGGATGGCTATAGCCACCCTGGGGGTCCTTCCCCAGCCTGCCAGGGGGGGTCCCAGGTGGGGAAGGGGGAGAAGGACCCCCTGGGAAGGGGGTGACAGAGGACAAGTCCCAGGCTGGGGACAGCAGGTCCCATATGGGGGCTATAGGGATGGCTATAGCCACCCTGGGGGTCCTTCCCCAGCCTGCCAGGGGGGGTCCCAGGTGGGGAAGGGGGAGAAGGACCCCCTGGGAAGGGGGTGACAGGGGACAAGTCCCAGGCTGGGGACAGCAGGTCCCATATAGGGGCTATAGGGATGACTATAGGCACCATGGGGGTCCTTCCTTAGTCTGCCAGGGGGGGTCCTGAGTGGGGAAGGGGGAGAAGGACCCCCTGGGAAGGGGGTGACAGGGGACAAGTCCCTGGCTGGGGACAGCAGGTCCCATATGGGGGCTATAGGGATGGCTATAGGCCCCTTAAGCACATCTACATTTTCTTATTAATTAGTTCTTTTTTTTTTATTTTAATGAAAAGCAAGGAAAACTGAATAATAATAGAGGAGGAAGGGAGTGTAAAAATGTGTCCCCCGGCCCTCCCCCCCAAAGCAAAGGATGGGGGCACAAAATGTGACACACACACACACCCCAGACTGGAGGGGACAGAAAGGGACAGGAATTTGGCAATTAATGCCCCGAAAGCAGGGACACAAATCAGTGCTGGAGTCGGAGAGGGGGACACACGACTGTCCCCATCACGCCTTGGCACAATCCTCCCTGTCCCATGGCAGAGTTTTTGCTCTTAAAATTAGTGACACAGAACCACATAGGGTTGGAAGGGACCTCTGGAGATCATCTAGTCCAACCCCCTGCCAAAGCAGGGCCACCCAGAGCAGGTCCCACAGGAACGTGTCCAGGGGGGGTTTGAATGTCTCCAGAGAAGGAGACTCCACCACCTCCCTGGGCAGCCTCTGCCAGGGCTCTGCCACCCTCACAGCAAAGAAGTTCCTCCTCATCTTGAGATGGAACTTTTTATCTTCAAGTTTGTGCCCATTTCCTCTTGTCCTGTCCCTGGGCACCACTGAAAAAAGCCTGGCCCCATCCTCCTGACACCCACCCTTTAAGCATTTATAGGTGTTGATCAGATCCCCCCTCAGCCTTCTCTTCTCCAGACTAAAAAGCCCCAAGTCCCTCAGCCTTTCCTCGTAAGGGAGATGCTCCAGGCCCCTCATCATCTCTGTAGCCTCTGCTGTCCCCTCTCCAGCAGTTCCCTGTCCTTCTGGAACTGGGGAGCCCAGAACTGGTCCCAGTGCTCCAGATGGGGCCTCCCCAGGGCAGAGCAGAGGGGCAGGATGACCTCCCTCCACCTGCTGCTCACACTCTTCCTGATGCCCCCCAGGATGCCATTGGCCTTCTTGGCCACCAAGGCCCGTTGCTGGCTTACGGGCATCCTGTTGTCCACCAGGACTCCTAGGTCAACACATGCAATTTACAAACCTCCCCCCCCATCTCCCCACTCCCCAAAACCAGCAGATAATCCAAATTCTTCATAGCAAAGACCAACAGGAGAGAGAGAGAGAAAGTAAAATCCAAAAACCTGGCCCAGGGCGAGGGGAGGAAGAGACACACACACTCGGCACATCCTGGATAGAGAAATATATTTGCTTCAGAGAACGGTCTCCCCCCATCTCCTTCCCCCCACCCCCCACCCTAAAAACACGAGAGGGGGGAAAAAACCAATCATCAGATACGTTAGGTCAAGCCGAAGCTTTTAAAAAAAAAAAAAAAAAAAAAAAACAACCAAAAAACCGAAATAATAATCAACCAACCGGACCTCTTCTCATCTGGAGTGGGCGTCACAGAGCTAACGCGGTACCCCCCGAAAAAAAAAGTGCATTTTTAGGAAAAAAAAAACCAAACCCCAACCAAAAACCAACCGAAGAACCGAAGGTCGGGGTGACGGCGAGAGGGGACAGCGGCCGGGGAAGGGCTAGTTTCCTCGGAAAGCGCTCTGTGCGGCGGAGGAGGCCGCCCCCGCAGCCGCCGTCTGGAAGCTCCTGTTGGTGAGGATGCCTTGGGAAAACTCTTCCTGGGCCCTCTGGAAACTGGCTCCCGTGCGGCGGTACAGGGAATGCACCTGGGGAATGGGAAGAGAAGGGGAAAGGGGGAAAAATAAAGGTGTCAGCAGAAAGTCATGGGTTTGTCGCACCAACCGGCTCGGTTTTCGCTTGGCCCCGTGGTTATTATCTCTGGGCAGAGTATGCCACCGGCTCCACCTCAGCTGAGGATGTCAGTAGACCCTCGTTTGGTGTAAAAGAGAATCATGGAATTGTTGGAAGGGACCTTCTAGAGACCATCCAGCCCAACTCCCCGGCCAAAGCAGGGCTGCCCAGAGCACATCACTCAGGAGCATCCAGGCGGGGCTTGAAGATCTCCAGAGAAGGGGACTCCACACCCTCCCTGGGCAGCCTCTGCCAGGGCTCTGCCACCCTCACCCCAAACAAGTTCTTCCTCACATTGGAGGGGAACTTCCCATAGTCCAGCTTGTGCCCGTTGCCCCTCGTCCTGTCACTGGGAACCACAGAAAAGAGGTTCCTCCTCAGAGGTTCCTCCTCAGAGGTCCTCCTTCAACCCACCCTTTAGATCCTTGTCAGCATGAACAAGGTCTCCCCTCAGCCTTCTCTTCTCCAGGCTCAAGAGCCCCAGCTCTCTCAGCCTTTCCTCAGCAGGGAGATGCTCCAACCCCTCCATCATCTCTGTTGCCCTACGCTGGACTCTCTCCAGCAGTTCCCTGTCCCTCTTGAACTGGGGAGCCCAGCACTGGACGCAGGATTCCAGCGTGGAGCTCTCAGCAAAACAGCAGGTATCAGACCAAAAACGTCTCTCCCCACAGGGTGCGGATGCGTAACCTCTGCATCTACAGACCCGAGGTTGCAGGTCTGCAACTCCAAGCATCAGGTATCTCCTTCGAGATACGATTTAGGAGAAACGGAGGAGGAAGCAGTAGGAACAGGACCAGCTCAGCCTGTCCTCACCTTCCCCAGAGCTGCATTTCTGCTGTTAATTGCAAAAACGCAATCCTTGCGTGGTCACTCAGAAGGAGGAAGGAAGGCTCATGTTTGAGAGCCTGCGGTAAAAGACTCCTTTGGATCCCACCAGGCTTTGAAGAATCCCACCAGGCTGCGGTAGCAGCGACTGTAAAGCCCCCAGACACCCCAAGGTGTCTTCTCTGCTCAGCCAGCTCTGGGCAGGCTCAAGGTAAAGGCAGGTGGAAGAAATTGGATGTCCATGTTCAAGGAGGGTGACATTTGGGACCTCCACCACCAGCAAGGCTTTCCACCCCCCCTTCCTTTATTCCCAGGGTGTGTTCGAGGCCCTTTCACACCTTAATGACAAGCCTTAATGAAGCACCTCTGCCTCTTCTTCCCTCCCCAATGGCCAGCCCCCACCTGCAGGTCTCCTTAGCCTTCAAGCAACTTGGCACCGGTGCAGGAAGCAGGAGCAAAAACACATCTAATTAAAACTCTTGACCTGACAGTGCCCTGATTACGTCTTCCAAAGCAAGTTCAATCCCCACGAAGAGATGAGAGGAGGTTGCAACCCCCCATCCCCACCCCGGGAGAGGCCCAACCTGAAGATCTGCCAGTTTGCCCTCACCTTGCCTCCGAGTGACTCACCTGCTTCAGGAGGAAGAGGGAGAGGATGGCGCAGAGGGTGAAGAACCCTGCCACCACCATCATGATAACAGCCACGGCCACGTTCCCGCGCAGCTCCGACAGCGCCGCGATCCAACCGCTGCGAGGGAAGGGAGAGCAGGGTGAGATGGGAAGAGGCACCAACAGCAGCAGAAGAACCTTTGGGGGAAGGTTACAGGGAATCCCAGAACGATGGGGGTCGGAAGGGACCTCTGGAGAACATCTCCTCCAACCCTCTGCCAGAGCAGGGCCACCCAGAGCAGGTCCCACAGGAACGTGTCCAGGTGGGGTTTGAATGTCTCCAGAGAAGGAGACTCCACCACCTCCCTGGGCAGCCTCTGCCAGGGCTCTTTCCCCTGAGGGTGTCAGAAGTTCCTCCTCATGTTGAGATGGAACTTCTTATCTTCAAGTTTGTGCCCATTTCCTCTTGTCCTGTCACTGGGCACCACTGAAAAAAGCCTGGCCCCATCCTCCTGACACCCACCCTTGAAGTATTTATAGGTGTTGATCAGATCCCCCCTCAGTCTTCTCTTCTCCAGACTAAAAAGACCCAAGTCCCTCAGCCTTTCCTCCTAAGGGAGATGCTCAGCTCAAACCCAAACGTTACAGCTGTGGGAACAGGGACCCAGAGCTCCCCCAGGCACTTGTTTTGGGGCCAGAATCTCCATTATTGTTTTTAGAAGTGACCCTCCATCCATCCCTCCATCTCCCCACAGGAGAACCCTCCTCGCCCCACCTGCGTTACAGCCCTGGATCCCTGGACCACCCTTGGCATCGTCATAAATCAAAGCAGCGTAAAGACAGGGTGGTTACGTGGAATTCTGGAGATCTGGAGCCAAGACCTACACCTCACCGTGACAGCTCTGCCTGGCCAGGGATGCCAGTGTTGGGAGGGGGGAGGAAGAGGAAGGAAGGGATGAAGTTAGAAAGGAAGGGGCAGGGAGGATGTGGGGAGCGACCAGCGCTTGGCAGCGGGTGAAAATACCGACGTGCCCCACTCC